TCTAATCTGTTCACTATCCTCTAAACAATCCACATTCACACTTCAAGTCACAGAAAGACTAATACACATTCTGCAGGGGGAAACTATGGAGTTAATCAAATATTTACTGAGTAACTAGTGGTCTGAGGTATTCCACTAGGAACCTTAGAGGAATAGAGAGGTGACTCTTGTTCTCAAGAAGTTTAAAATATGAATAAGACTGGAGAGAAAATCCATTAATGAGTATTTGTTAAGTGCCAGACACAAACCTCATACTGGGGATACAAAGACAGAAATTACACAAGTCCCTGCCTTCAAGAAGCTTATGTTCTGTAAGGCAGAGATGCTTATTCTAGAATCCATAAGCTTATTTTTTAAATTTATAATGCTATTTCAATATAATTGGATTCCTTTGTAATCCTATATATATTCTTTTATGTATTTATGAGAAGGGATCCATAGGTTTCACCAGACTACCAAAGGGGAGTTCAAGACACAAAAAAGGTTAAGAATCCTGGCCTAGAGGGGATGGAATGGAAACATGCAAGTATATACCCAAAAAAAGTAAAGAAATACAGGGTAATTTGGTGAAGGGAAGCCACCGATAACTGAGAACGAGGCAGGAATCAGAAATCTTAAACAGCAATGAAAAAATTAAAGAACAAAAGAAGGTACAATAACTTGTGGAAATGCTTCATCAGGAGGCAACTTCCATTAGGAAAAAAAAAATTATGCCAAAGGAGCTCATTTGTTCAGATTTGCAGGAAAGGACTCATTGACACGGATCTAGAAAGGGGAATTAGAACTCCATATCCTTAATTTCACAAATAAGGAAACTGAGACACAAAGGAGGAGAAGTGACTTGCCCAAGGTCACACGAAGAGCAAGTTGGTAGAGCTGGGATTCAAACCCAGGTCTTTTGACTCAGTATCTAGAGCTTTTTCCAAGGAACTGTGCATGGTCTCTCCCTAAATGGCTCTACAGAAAAAGAAGCCAGTGGAATTCTTTGAGTTCTGACAGAATGGAGATTTTGGAATAGTTAAGGAACATAGTAGGTGCTTAATACATGCATACTGATTAACTGATTTAGCCCAAGGCAAAAGAACTACTTCCCTGAGTTGACTTTAAACATGCTCAAATGAAGTGCATGAGATTACAGAAATAGCAGGCACAGGCAATGTTCAGGACAAAGGAGGTTGTTTTCTTACCAAACTAAAGTTCTGAACTTCAAATACTTAGAGAACTTCTGTTAAAAACCAATCATCAATAAGCCCACTGATAATTGAAAGAAAACAAAATGAGATATGGGAGAATGGAGGGAAAAGGAGAAATAGGAGAGGGGAAAAAAGGGGGATGAAGAGACAAGGGAAGACTGCCTACTATAGCATATGAACCAAAATGAGGTAATTTTTAAGGAAAAGGGAAATAAGGATCGTAAATGTGCAAATGGGGGAAAGGAAAAAGAGAGCACCTGAAAGAAATCACCTCATGCAAAAAGTCAAAAATGGGAAAGAGAACCAGGCTTAGCTTTTCCAACACCAGCACCAAGGAAAAGGAGCTTACCAGCTTTTTCTCTAGTGCTACTGCCTGCCTCTACTGTCAATGGAGAAGCTTCACGCCTCCCAGAGAAGAACTGAAGGTCTGGGAAAAGATAACTAGTGTCTTCTAGTAGCTGGGCCGGGCTACTTGGACTGCAACACACAGGCAGGGGACCTGGAAACAAGGAAAATTGGATGTTAATGCCAATAAATTCCGCCATCCTTCCTGCCATGACTCACAATAGCAGTCTTTGAATCATTCCTCCAAAACAATTTGAGTTGTAGTAGAAGCTTGTTTGACTCTGTTATTTTTTGATTCATAAAATTCCAGACTTACTATGCAAAATCCTCACAAGGTCAGCCACCCACTAAAATGGCCCACGGGGACCCAAATTACAATACCCAAACCACAGGAAGCTGAGGCAGAGGCTTTCCTACCATGCAGCCGAAAAGAGCAAAACAAAAGTCAGATCCTCTCCTGAATGACCCAAGCAAGTCCCAGAGCACAGAATGGGACGTTGGAGGGAAAGGGAAGTGGGGGGGGGGGGGCGGAGGGGGAAGTTGCGGAGAAGGGACTTGGAACAGGAGGAAGGGGGTAGCATTTTTTAAGGGAAATAGTAGTTGCCTCTCAGAACAAGGAAAGGAAATAGAAAGGAGCCATAGTTTCAACAGACCATGTGCTAGTATGAGAACATCCCAGCACGGGACGGAGTCAGGCACTCAGCCTTGCATTCAAACTGTGCACAAAAGTCTTTGGAGTTTCATGTTGCTATGTGTAGCCAGGGTCGTGGCCCTCTGCCAAACCCTGGCCTTTCAGCTCTAGTTTATCTGCTTCACACACAAACTGGGGTGCATTTCCTGTTCCAATTAAATGTGACATTTTTCTCAAGCCTACAGTCACTAGACATGAAACGCTACTACAAAAACACTGATAAAGCACATGCGGAGTTCACAGGAGCATTCTGCAGCACAAGATGGGCTCCATTCTCAGGCAGAGCCTACAGTCCAACATTCACTTTCTACCCCATCCCCCTCCCCCAAAAGGTAATATGATCTACTCTAGGGAAATAGAATCTCACTGCACACCTCACAACGAAAATTCTTTCCAACAAGAAAATTCCATTAGTAAGGAAATTATTTTTCTCATTAGTGCCAGAATAATATTGAGTGACAGCTAATAAAAAGTAAGCTTCTTGAGGCCAGATACTGTTTTGCTTCTGTGTTTACAGAGCACATAGCACAGTATCTGGCATATATTGCCACATAATAAATGTTTTTTGATAAACTGAAATCAGTTCTGTAAACAACTTGATGATTTGTTTTTTTGCCTCTCTTAGCAAAAGTAATTGACATTTATAAAATGCTTTCAATTTCCCCAACCTCTTCTAGCACGTGAAATCATTTGATCCACACAGTCATGTGAAATAGGTACTATGGGCATAGGTGAGGAAAACCAAGGTTCTGAGAAATTAAATGACGTTTGCCCAGTTTCACAGAACAAGTAATGTTCCCTGCTTCATCAAAGCTAGAGGGCTATATTTGTTGTTTGGAGAACTGGGTACTAGTCCTGGCCCTGCTACTAATTAATATGAATTTGAGCAAGTTACTTAACCACGGTTTGTTCATCTACATGCCCTATAAGATGACCTTTTAGGCCCTTTCTGTTGTTGTTCAGTCCTTCCAGTTGTGTCTGATTCTTCCTGACCCACTGGAGTTTTCTTGGCAAATATACTGGAGTGGTTTGCCATTTCCTTCTGCAGCTCATTTTACAGATGAGAAAACTGAAGCAAACAGAGTTAAGGGACTTGCCCAGGGTCACACAGCTAGTAAGTATCTGAGGCTACATCTGAACTCAGGAGAGTCTTCCTGACTTCATGCCTGGCATTCTATCCACTTCACCATCCAGCTGCCCCAACATACCCCATGTATCATGATAGTCTTCAAGAGAAAAGAGCAAACTCCAGTCAGAGGCTTAAGGAAAGTCCAAATGATTATAATAACTTAGTGTGATCTTCTAGATATAGTAGGAGTTTTCCAACACCCTGGTTGTAAGCAGGGCTAACTGCACAAAGAGGCAAATTTCTCACGTACAAAGTTCAAAGTGAGGAGTACCAGAAATCCTGTACCCTATCATCTCCACTGACCTGTCACTTATATGTGAAATGCCACCATTTTAAATTTGTTCCTTTAGGTGATTAGCATTAGTCATAAGAAACAATATAAAGGCCCCTGGGAGTCATTGGAATACTTGCTAATCCATTAACATGTTCATCAGCTTATCAGATCCTATCCCATTAAATACAACCTGAGTACAGATACTCTTCCCCTAGATAGAAAACAAAGAGGTGTCTAGGATGTGTAATGGGTAAACTCTGAAAAAAAAATTCTCAGAAGGACAGATAAGAGCTATGAGGGGCCCAGGGTCTGCTGCAGAAAGTCAAATTTTAGCTGGGACTTGAAAGAAGCCAGGAGGCAGAGACGAGCAGGGAAAGAATTGCAGGCTAGTGAAAATGCCCAGAGTTGAGACAAAGAGGGTCGTGTAAAAGGAACAGTGCGGCACCCGGTGTTACTGTATCACAGTGGGAATGAGTAAGACATAAGAAAACTGGAAGAGGAGGAAGATAAAGGTGCCAGATTAAGAAGGTCTTTGAATGCCAAAGGATTTAATATTTGATACTAAAAATGATACGGAACCACCAGAGTTGAGAGAGAGAGAGAGAGAGAGAGAGAGAGAGAGAGAAAGTGTGAGAGAGTGTATGTGTGTGTGTGTGTGTGTGTGTGTGTGTGTGTGTGTGTGTGTGTGTGTGTGCGTGTATTGTGTGACATGCTCAGACCTGTGCTTTAGGAAGATCACTCTGACAACTGGGTAGAGGATGGACTGGATTGGGGAGAGATCTGAGGCTGGCAGACACAGCAGCAGACTATTGCAATAATCAAAGTATGAAGTGATAAGAGCCTGAACAAGGATGGGGGCAGTGTCAGAGGAGAGAAGGGTCATCTACGAGAGCTGTTAGGAGGTTAAAATAATCAGATCTTGGCAACCAACTGTACATAGGTGGTGAGAAAGAGTGGGAAGCCAAAGGTGATATCTAGGTTATGCGCCTGGCTGACCATGAAGATGGTGGCATTCTCAACAGTCATAGGAAAGTTAGGAAGGGGAGAGGGCTTGCAGGGAACGATGTGTTCAGTTTTGGTCATGATGAGTTAAAGATGTCTGTGAGGATCTGAATCTTATCCATATCTTTCCATATAACTTCCACTAAAGGACTGCACAACATGCCAGAAGTCTTCTTCTAGCTCTTTTAATACAGCATAGGGTATCAACAATAGCAGGCCAGTTGTCTGTCTGCCAGCCCTGGCTCTCCTTACATGACCAGCCCACCTCTTCAGACTCAAATAGAAATGAGAGCCACTTTATGGCACGGGATGGAAAACCATATATTAACATCCTCTAGGGGCAGCTAGGTGGCACAGTGGATAGAGCTCTAGCCTTGGAATCAGGAGAACCTGAGTTCAAATCTGACCTCCGACACTTGACACTTACTAGTTGTATGACCCTGGGCAAGTCACTTAACCCCAATTGCCTCACCAAAAAGAAAAACATCCTCTATGTCCTGTTGTATTTTTATTTATTTTGTTAAATATTTCCCAATTACATATTAATCTCATTAGGGCCATGCTTAGGAGTGTTGGGGCTGAGGGCAGGATGCCTGATACCTCTGCTGTATGCTGTGTCCTAGATGACATCCATTCTAAGCCACTTCTAAGTAAAAACAATTACTGGTAATAGTCTGTGTGTCTTCTCGATGCACTTCTCCATTGCCCTTTGGATCACTTTCAACATCTGTGTACATTGGGGGGGAAAAATAACTAATTTACATGTTTACTGAAAACTAAATTCCCCATCTGGCTCCACTGTGGTTCACTGCTCCAAATCAAATCAGAGTCAGATGTGAATTTGAACCTCGGAATAAACAAAAAATGAGCAGCAGCAACATCACCAAATCACTGGGCGGAGAGATCAAAGGATCAGAGATTTAAAGGGAGAGGGAACTTTAGAAGTCATAAAGTTCAACTCTCTCATTTTAAAAATGAGGGGAGCAGCTAGGTGGCATAATAGATAGAGCTCTGACCTCGGAATCAGGAGGACCTGAGTTCAAATCTGGCCTCAGACACTTGACACTTACTAGCTGTGTGATCCTGGGCAAGTCACTGAACCCTGATTGCCTCACCAAAAGCAAAAACAATTTAAAAATTTTAAAAATAAAATAAAGATGAGGAATCTACAGCTCCAAGAGGGAAAGTGGCTTATCATAGATTATCTAGAGCTTTGTGGGATGCCTGGCACATAGCAGACCCTTGATAATGCTTGTTGTCTTGAATAGGGAAGGAAGGGACTTTAAAGAGCAGCTAGTTCAACCCTTCATTTTATACAGCGGAGGAGACTTTGGTCCAGGGAGTTGTGATCTGCCACATGGAACACAGCAGCCTCCCCAGAGCCTGCTAAATGAACAAGGTCTGGCAAGGAAGCTGAGTGACCTAGTCAGCATAAGACCAGCAGGGATGGCCTAAAGTCCTTTTTCTCACCAGCTCTGAATATCACCCAGCCTCCAATTCCCCAGGATTCTTCCCTCTGGCCACTAACATGAATCAGCACCAGTCCCCTGGTCCAGACTCTTCTTTTCCGACTCCCAATGCCTGGTCCTGCTAGACTCAGATAGCAACCTATTAAAATTCACCAGACTTGACTGGTTTGGAGGGAAAGCACCTCGTTCCCCACAGGGCCCCAGCAGTATAACCAACTCCTAGCAGACTTGTTTCTATCATTCTTCCCTGACTGCTCTATATTTTGTGAGTATCTTCCCTAAATTCACACTGGCTTGTTCTACTGTCTTGTTGCAAGTTCTATGTTTCCCTGTATTGGACTCTGACATTCCCTAAACCTTCCCAGGTCAATCGTAAGACATTTATCCCAGGTCAAATAGGCAGGTTAGTTTCATGGGCAGGATATGAACCCAGATGTTCCAACTCCAAAATCAGTGCTTTTTCCACTGTAGAAAATGGCAAACAAGATTCAAAGCCCAGTCCTCTGACTCCAAATTCACCCCTATCATGCCATCCCCAAAGATGGCATAAAGAAATCACTTCCACTCACAGCCCCTTATTCTTAAAACA